TATATATACCACATTTTCTTGATCCATTCATCTACTGAGGGGCATCTGGGTTGGTTCCATATCTTAGCTATGGTAAATAATGCTGCAATAAGCATAGTTGTGCTGGTGCGAAGTTTTTTTAAACCTGAGAATGCTCCAGTGTTTAAATATCCCTATGAACGTTGAAATGTTACAATTCTTGCTTTTTATGACTTTTGATTCTGTATTCTGTCCTAACTGGTTACTAGTGTTTTGCATTATCTTTATCTTCACATATATAGTGACATCACAGAACTGTATTATTATAATGCTGATATGTATTATTCTGGGGTAAAAATTTTGTTCTGAGTTTTTTTCTATGAATTTTTCCAGTTCCAGGAGTAGATTTTAGCATAACTCAATTTGTGAGGAATCTTGGACTTGAGCACTTAATGGATATATTTGAGAGAGAACAGGTAAGTAGATTAACTGTATTGTTTAGTATGTTTAGTGTTGTTTACTTGACCTCTGCAATCTGTGGAGGAGAGTTTTTGTGAGTCTTGTTTTTGGGGTCTTGGGATTGAACTTTTACTCTACCATGGAGCTATTCTCACTTCTTGAGAGTGTTTTTTAATTAGTTGCTCTCCTGATTTGGCTTGATTTTGGAATTTCTGTTAAGTGTATAGTAATAAAACAACTTTTTTGAATGGCAAAATTATCTTAGTACTTAAAGTGAGTTATCATTGAACTATGTTCAGTTCTGTTCTGTCCGTTACTACCCATTCTAAACCTGACATTGCTAGGTAGCTCCTATGGAGAGGAATATGCCAGTCATACAATTGGGCTTTTCTTTTCTTTTCTTTTTTGTCAGTTGTAGGGCCTGAACTCGGCCTGGGCGCTGTCCCTCAGCTCTTCAGCTCAAGGCTAGCACTCTACCACTTGAGCCACAGCTCCACTTCCAGCTTTTTTCTTTATGTGGTGCTGAGGAATCGAACCCAGGGCCTCATTCAAGGCAAGCACTCTACCACTGAGCCACCTCCCAGCCTTACAGTTGGGTTTTTCTGTCTATTACCATCTTAAGCAGTTCTATCAGAATACATTGACATATTTTTGCTGCTGTTACTGTTTTTGTTTTGGTGGTGGTGGTGCTGGTGGTGGTGATGGTGGTGGTGGTTATGGGGCTTGAATTCTAGGCCTAGGTGCTGTCCTTGAGCTCTTCAGCTCAAGGCAAGTGCTCCACCACTTGAGCCACAGTGCCACTTCTGGTTTTCTGGTGGTTAATTGGAAATAAGAGTCTTACAGACTTTCCTGCCCGGGCTGGCTTTGAACCATGGTGCTCAGATCTCAGCCTCCTGAATAGCTAGGATTACAGGCGTGAGCCACCAGCACCCAGCTGTTGTTAACTGTTTAGAAAATGTAACAACTGTATACTTGTACCTAAAGAGATTTTCAGTCAGGTTTATGAAGCTGGAACAAGACCATTCAAAGATGTTTGTCATAGAGTTTAGAAATTGGGGGGAGTAGATTATTATGTAATGAACTATCAAGGGACAGCTTCATAGAAAGTTTATAAATTAAAAAAAAATAGGCACAATCGTGCAGATATGTGGTTCCAGCTACATGGGAGGCTGAGATCACTGTCAGAACCCCACCTGAAAACAGAAAAGAGCTGGAGGTGTAGCTCAAGTGGTAGAGTACCTGCCTAGCAAATACAGGGTCCTGAATTAAAATTCTTTTACCACAAAAAAGAGAGTGGGAGAGAATGATTGAATTGCTTCCATTTTGTGAAGTGATGATATATTTTGGGTTTAAAAAAAAGTTAATTTGAATAGTATTGTGAAAGTATAAGTTAGCATGGTATTCAGACTTTGGAGGAACAATAGAAAAATTATGTAACTAAGGTAAGCTATACAGTGATAGTAGAAAAGTTAGTGTAATAGATGAAATGTTTCACCTGACTGTGGTTAATATAAAAGAACATGTATGACTTGATGTTGGTAGTTTATGCCTGTAATCCTAACTACTCAAGAGATGAGAGCTGAGGATTGCAGTTCAAAACTGTCCTGGGCCTGACTCAACTTCTATTTTACTCCCATATTTTTGTTGATTGGATGGTTGGTGCTGGTACTAGGCTTGAACTCCATACCTTGCACTCTCACCTTTTCTGTCATGGCTAGCACTCTTAACACTTGCATTATGCCTCCATATCCAGCTTTTTTCTGTTTACTTAGACAGAAGAGTCACTCTTTCTCTGCCTGGGCTGGCTGTAAACTTTGATCCTCAGATCTTGGCTTCCTGAATAGCTAGGTTTATAGGTGTGAGCCACTGGTGCCCAGCTGCTAGGCCAACTTATATTTTTTTGCTAATTTCAGTTTAGCAAATGGTTTATTTTAATGTTAAAACTGTTCACACAAATATAAATTAAATATGTGAATGTCTTATGTTAAAAGAATACCCATATATGAATGTCTACCTAACATTAATAAGCATTTTTAAATTGTTTTATTTCATAAGATCACTTTGGATGTGTTAGTTGAGATGGGACACAAGGAACTCAAAGAGATTGGAATCAATGCTTATGGACATAGACACAAACTAATTAAAGGAGTAGAAAGACTTATCTCTGGACAACAAGGTATTTCATTTTAATTTATGTAATCGGTTTAAGGCCATTGCTTAGTGTATTAATAACATGAAAATCTGTATGAGAAGATATGTTTAATAAGGAAAGTAGTAACTAGAATTCAAGACACCTGTGATGAAGAATCTGCTAATAGTTATACATCTGAGCTACCAGTGTTAATTGTGTAAAGTGTATACCCAATACAGAAATTTGAAGATTGTCTTAGTTACTGAAAATTGTGATGATTTCTGAAGTTACCCTAGCTCTCAATTTCTGTGATTCTAAAAGATCTAGAATTTAAGTATCTCATTTTTTGTTCTGACTTAATAACAGGTAGACATTAAAGGTATCACATAAAATAATGTAAATCTCTTGTATAAAATACTAAGCTTGGAATGGGGGAAAAAATAATGTGGCAACCAAGGAAATTAAACAATACAAATCTGTATAATATTTTTATTTTTCAATAGTGTTCAGGGCTTAAGGAAAGCACACATTGTATTTACTCGAGAGATGTTAACGTTTCTTGTTTATCAGATCTAGGTATAAAATGTTTCAAGTGTCAAGCCATATTTTAACCTTATTGTGAAACTGAGAGAGTGGTTTACCCTGAAATATCCTATACTTGAAGTTCAGCTAGAATTAAAGAGAAACTTTTCTTAGCAAAGATGGAATTTTCAGGGAATGATGTATGCTGGACAGGATGAGGACTGCTTGTTAAAGCAAAAAAGTAGTACTAAAAATTTAGGTGATTCAAGCTAAGAAATGTTTCAAGGAGGGCTGGGAAGGTGGCTCAGTGGTAGAGCGCTTGCCTTGCATGCTCAAGGCCCTGGGTTCAATTCCTCAGCACCACATAAGCAAAAAGAAAAAAGCCAGAAGTGGAGCTGTGGCTCAAGTAGTAGAGCGCTAGCCTTGAGCTGAAAAGCTGAGGGACAGCGCCCAGGCCCAGAGTTCAGGCCCCACGACCGGACCCAAAAAAAAAAGAAGAAATGTTTAAAGGAATGTTTGTTCTGTTCCTCAGCTCTTCAGCTCAGGCAAGTGCTCTGCCACTTGAGCCACAAGTGCCACTTCCAGTTTTCTGGTGGTTTATTGGAGATAAGAGTTTCACAGACTTTCCTGCCCAGGCTGGCTTTGAACCACGATCCTCAGATCTCAGCCTCCTGAGTAGCTAGGATTACAGGTGTAAACCACCAGCGCCCAGCTCTAAAGAAATGTTTTAAACTGGTGTTATTAAATACAGTTGATAAAGTAAATGGAACTAGATGCCAGTGACTGAGGCCTATAATCCTAACTACTCAGGAGGCTGAGATTTGAGGATCACGGTTTGAAGCCAGCCTGGACATAAAAGTCCTTATGAGACTCTTATCTCTGTTTAATCACTCAAAAACCAGAAATGGTGCTGTGGCTCAAGTGGTAGAGCGCTAACCTTGAGCATAGAGAGGCTCAGGGGACAGCACCCAGACCCCAAGTTCAAGCCCTGCAACCCACCAAAAAAAAAAGTATATAGAATATAGCCAGGCACTGATTACAGCTCATGGCTGTAATCCTAATTACTTAGATGACTGAGATCTGAGAATTGCAGTTCAAACCCAGCCAAGCCCAGGCAAGAAAGTCCATGAGATTTTTAACTCATATTAACCACCAGAAAGCCAGATGTGGAGGTGTTGCACATGCAAGTGGTAGAGCACTAGCCTTGAGCAAAAAAGTTCAGGAATAGCACCCAGGCCCTAAGGTTAAGCCCCAGGACCAGCAAAAAAAAAAAAAAAGTAAATGGACTTCACATGCCAAGTATAGACTAGAATAAAATACTTAAAATATGAGAAGTATTAGTTATCTAGTATAAAGCTAAATTTCATAAGATAAAAGAGGAAACCCGGCACTGATGTCTCACACCTATAATCCTAGGTACTCAGGAGGCTGAGCTCTGAGGATCAGGGTTCAAAGCCAGCCAACTCTTATCTCTAACCACCAGGAAACTGGAAGTGGCATTGTGGCTCAAGTGGTAGAGTGTTAGCCTCGAGTTGAAGAGCTCAGGGACAGGATCCAGGCAAGAGGGAAAATTTATGATTCCTTGGATACTAGTTTATAATAGAGCTACTAAAAATAAGAAGAAATAGAACTTTAGTTGTAGATTGCCATTGTAGCTATTAAAATACCTCATCTGGTATAATAGTGGTATTGGGTGAATACTGGGGTAACGGAAGTGTTTTAGGAAGGAGCTACATTTAAAAAAAAAAAGCAGTTAGTGTATGTATAAACTAAACAAAGCCAAGTTATGATTATATTGAAAGACTCAAGAAACAGTGACAGAAATACATATTTACCTCCAAATGGTAGAGGTGTACTCTCTCTGGTCCTGTAGTTACTCCTGATACATCTATCTTGGCTAGGGTGCACTGGCCTTAGGCATTTACCACAGTCTCTATTCTGCATAATAGTTTGCATATAGTCTTCATAGTTGCTCCTCTTAAGTCATCAGAGAGTGGCTTGTTGGTAGTAGTTGTTTTTTAGATCAATAGCCCTGAAGTAAAAAATTGCCCAACCTGAAAAAACAGCAGAAGCTTGGAGATTTTGTATAAATTTAAAAGGGAGTTGTATTATAAAGATGCCAAAGAAGATTCTGTTTGGAATTTCATTTTTAAAGATTTTATAAGAGGGGCTGGGGAGGTGGCTCAGTGGTAGAGCGCTTGCCTTGCATGCCTGAGGCCCTGGGTTCGATTCCTCAGCATCACATAAGCAAAAAGAAAAAAAGCTGGAAGTGGTGCTGTGGCTCAAGTGGTAGAGCGCTAGCCTTGAGCAAAAGAGCTCAGGGACAGCACCCAGGCTCTGAGGGACAAAAAAATAATCATGAGTGGAAATAATATTCTAGTTTGAAAAGATGAGAAGGTTCTGGAAATAGATGGTGGAAATGGCCACAAAACAGTGTGAATTACTTACTGAACTGAACACTTAAAAAATGGTTCACATGGGGCTGGGAAGGTGGCTCAGTAGTAGAGCGCTTGCCTTGCATGCCTGAGGCCCTGGGTTCCATTCCTCAGCACCACATAAGGAAAAAGAAAAAATGGTTCACATGGTAAATTTTATGTTACATATATCTTACCACATTAAAAAAATAAGAAATATAGAAGAAAATAATTTTGCAAAATATTTCAACAAAACTCTTAGAATTTATGAAGTTATAAATTAGTGATCTAAATGCAGTGTGATAGCCTAGTTTTGATCCTGGGAGTGCTAGTAGGAAAACCTACTGAGATCCAAATTAAGCCTATATTAATAATTTTTGAAACTCGTACTGTACTCATACAGTGTATATAGCCAGAGGGAAGCTGGGTGAGGATATACAGGAGCCCTTTCTATAAATGTAAACTGTTCTAAAATTAAAAGTTTTTAAATTGGGCTGGGAAGGTGGCTCAGTGGTAGTGTGTTTGCCTTGCATGCGTGAGGCCCTGGGTTCAGTTTGTCAGCACCACATAAGCAGAAAAGGCCAGAAGTGGTGATATAGCTCAAGTGGTAGAGTGCTAGCCTTGAGCTAAAGAGCTGAGGGACAGTGCCCAGGCCCAGAGTTCAGGCCCCACGACTGGCAAAAAAGACAAAAAAGCGAAACAATCAAAGTAACTTTTTTTTTTTTTTGGTTGGTCATGGGGCCTGAACTTTGGGCCTGGGCACTGTCCCTCAGCTCTTCAGCTCAAGACTAGCACTCCAACTTGCACCACTTCCAGCTTTTTCTGCTTATGTGGTGCTGAGGAATCAATCCCAGAGCCTCATGCATGCAAGGCACTCTACCACTGAGCCACCTTCCCAGCCCTGCTGTTTTATAGGCACTTTTTTTAACCTTTAAATTTTAATTTTGTTTCATAGGTCTTAACCCATATTTAACTCTGAACAACTCTGGTAGTGGAACAATTCTCATAGATCTGTCTCCTGATGATAAAGAGTTTCAGTCTGTGGAAGAAGAGGTATGTTCATATTCCTTAAATAATGGAAAAGATAGGTCAGTCATACAGACACAGTGTTCCATTAGAGAAGCAGGTACAAAGCCTAGAATCTCAGACAAGAGCCAGAAATATGTAGGTATTATTTGCCCAGGATATTTGTGTTTTAGCATTGTTTACAAATAACTCTTGGGTCTGCTGAAAGTTTTGAATAATGTCCTTCTTACACATTGAAGCATAGGTGCCATGTGAATTGAACATAGAAATAGAAGATTTAGTAAAAACTTTTTTTTTTTTTTTTTGCCATCCTGGGCTTGAATTCAGGGCCTGAGCACTATTCCTGACCTTCCTTTGCTCAAGGTTAACACTCTACCACTTGAGCCACAGTGCCACTTCTATTTCTGTTTAATGTGGTACTGAGAAATTGAACCCAGGGTTTCATGCATGCTAAGCAAGCACTCTGCCACCAAGCCACATTCCCATCCCCAGTAAGACTTTTTTAAAACTCAAGAAAGGCCAGTTCTTAATGAAATACCCATTGTGCTTTGTCTAAAATCAGTAGGACCAAAGAAATTAATGTTTTACTTTTTAGTATGATAGGTGACTAGCATTTAGCTTTATATTTAATCACCTCCTATTCTTGTTTCTTTTTCTTCCTGTAATTTACATTATATAATGTTTTAAATGATTGACTAATAGCTACCTCTAGAAAGCAGTACTCATGAATTTATAATACCTATATCCTTTAAACAACAAAAAGTTAAAGACTTAAATTCTCAAAAATAGAATTAGATGAATCAGAAATTTGTATTCCCCAAATCATACATAAAAGTTAATTCACACATTTTAAATTATTTTCCCATCAGATGCAGAGTACAGTCCGTGAGCACAGAGATGGTGGACATGCAGGTGGCATCTTCAGTAGATACAATATTCTCAAGGTAAAATTAATAAAAGTAAAAATAAAGTCTCATGGACTTTTCTGACCAGTCTGGCTTCAAACTATGATCTTGAATAACTAGGATTACTAGCCTGAGCCACTGACTCCCAGCTAAAGCATGATTTGTGTATGTGTGCACATATGCTGGTCCTGGGACTTTAACTCAGGGCCTGGGCACTGTCCCTAAGCATTTTTGTTCATAGCTAACACTCTACCTCTTCTGGCTTTTTTGGTCATTCATTGGAGATAAGATGACTTTGCTGCCCAGGCTAGATTCAAACCACAATCTTCAGATCTAACCTCCTGAGTAGGTAGGATTAAAGGCGTAAGCCAGATATCAAACTTATGTATGTCCTTATTTTTTTGAGGTATTTGATTCCAAAAAGGCATTTATACGTCTAACTTTGTAGGATAATTATAAAAGGTATTTTTAATAAACAATTATCTTCAGTTGACTGAAAACTACATATATTTTGAAAAAATTTCACCTCACTCCTGGCCAATCTTTTGGTTAAGATGAAATTGGTCATTATAAACACCTAAAGATTTGATTTTTCTGGTGTTACAGATTCAGAAGGTTTGTAACAAGAAACTATGGGAAAGGTATACTCACCGGAGAAAAGAAGTTTCTGAAGAAAACCACAACCATGCAAATGAACGAATGCTATTTCATGGTAAGATTCCTTCTCCCCCAACTCTACTACTATTCTCCATATTAAGATAGCTTTTGACAGATATTAAATAATAATATTTTCTTTATATCATTTTAAAATAATCTAATATTTCTATAACTTTTATGCTCCTGTTGTCAGTTTCTTTTACAGTGGATACTTTATAAATGGATACTTCATAAATAAGATTATTATAATGGAAAAAGTAGAAATGATAATGTGGACTTTTTGGTTTGTTTTTCTGTATCTCAGAAAAATGTATGCCTTCTGCTTTGATTTTTAAAATTTCAGTGTCAAAATCACATTTAACTTCAGTGTTAAAGAGCCATTTTGCCAGGTGCTGGTGACTCACACCTGTAATCTTAGCCACTCAGCAGCCTAAGATCTGAGGATCATGGTTCCATGCTACCATGCTAGTCCAGGCAGGAAAGGCCATGAATCTCCAATTAACCACTAGAAAACCAGAAGTTGAGCTAGCTGTATGACTCAAAGTGGTAGAGCACTAGCCTTAAGCAAAAGAGCTTAGGGAGCGTGCCCCAGCCCTGAGTTCAAACCCTATGACTAACAATATCAAAAACAAAAAAACATTGCCATTAGATCTATAGAGGTCACTGATAATTATTGAATTTATAGCATCACTGTTGTATTTAAATTTTCTTTGATTAAAATTTCATAAACTGTCAATTATTGGTTGGTTTTCAACTTTATAGGTATTGATGTATTGTTTTTCAAGCCTTTGAGCTTGTTATTAATAGTAGCTTCAATCTGTTCCTTTCTTTGTCCTTGAAGCTGGGCACTGATGTCTCATACTTGTAATCCTAGCTACTCACAAGGCTGAGATCAGAAGATCATAGTTCAAAGCCAGCTCAAGAAGGAAAGTGAATGAGAAGCATCTCCAGTTAATCACTCAAAAGCCAGAAGTGAAACTGTGGTGCAAGTGGTAGAGCGCTAGACTTGAGCACAAAGGTCAGGGATCACCCTCACCCCCATCCAAAAAGCAAAAAAAGCACCAAAATCTTGGTTCTTGACTGCAGAAAGTTTTTGGAGACCTAATTTGATTTTTTAAAAACACATTAGAGGCTGGGAAGGTGGCTCAGTGGTAGAGCGCTTGCCTTGCATGCCTGAGGTCCTGGGTTCGATTCCTCAGCACCACATAAGCAAAAAGAAAAAGTGGCACTGGGGCTCAAGTGGTAGAGCGCTAGCCTTGAGCTGAAGAGCTGAGGGACAGCGCCCAGGCCCAGAGTTCAGGCCCCACGACCGGACCAAAAAAAATAAAAATAAAAAAGCACATTAAATTTCATATTCTTAGATTGCAGATGTAGCCCATTGATAGAGCACTTGCCTAATAAACACAAGACCTTGTAGAAGTAGAATGAATTTCACAGTCCCCTGAAGGAATAGCTAGAATGGGTTTCTGTGAGATAATCTGAATACCACTACTTATGCTACAACCCTAAAAAAAGTTATTATCATAATCCCTTGGCAAAGAATATATGGTTTTTATTTATTAACTTGAAAGTTTTAATGAGGTTTTTTCTAGAAATGGTTTTGTTTTTTCCAAGTTCATTTCCAAGTTCATTCTTTTTTGTTGTTGTTAGATGTACAGAGGGGTTACAATGAGTATATTACTTATCGATCATTGTTACCCCTTCCCTTCCTTGTTGTTGTCCCACTATCCCTTCCCTCCCCCAACGTGTTTCTTTTTTTTTTTTTTGTCGGTCGTGGGGCTTGAACTCTGGCCCTGGGCACTGTCCCCCAGCTCTTCAGCTCAAGGCGAGCACTCTACCACTTGAGCTACAGCGCCACTTCCGGTTTTCTGGTGGTTTATTGGAGATAGGATTCTCACGGTCTCTCCTGCCGGGGCTGGCTTTGAACCGAGATCCTCAGATCTCAGCCTCCTGAGTAGCTAGGATTACAGGCGTGAACCACCGGCGCCCGGCTGTGATTGTCTTTTCCAGCCCTTAGCACACAACACCTACCTGATCTGGTTCTTGTGCTCTGTAGCTCTTCTTTGGCTGGGCCTGTCTTGTCCCTACTATACATGAAGCCCTAGATTGGATCCCTAATAGGCCACAGGAAAAAGAAATGAACTTCTAAGAGACTTTAGTTTTGCCTTCTAAAAAAATATTTAACTTGCTTTTACCAATCTATATGTATTTCAGGGTCTCCTTTTGTGAATGCAATTATCCATAAGGGCTTTGATGAAAGGCATGCATACATAGGTGGCATGTTTGGAGCTGGGATTTATTTTGCTGAAAACTCCTCCAAAAGCAATCAGTATGTGTATGGAATTGGAGGAGGTACTGGATGTCCAGTTCACAAAGACAGATCGTGTTATATTTGCCACAGGTAAGAGATCACTTCTCATTTATTCTGATAAGAATTGGTTAGATATTTAAGAAATTTAAAGGGCAAAGCCTTATGCCTGACTTTAAGAATCAAGACTGAACATGTTTTTAGGCTTTTTGCCCTCTCACAAGTTAAAATAATAGTTAATATTTACTTTAGTTATCTCAGTGGGGCAGCTTAATTCTAAGCAGTTGACCTTTTAACTCATTCTAACACAGAGCTTTAAAGACAAAAGTGCTCAATGGCTCACTTGGCACTGTAGTGGTTCATGTCTTTAATTCTAGCTACTCAGCAGGTTGAAATCTATAGATTATGGGGCTGGGAAGGTGGCTCAGTGGTAGAGCACTTGCCTTGCATGCTTGAGGTCCTGGGTTCGATTCCTCAGCACCACATAAGAAAAAAGCCGGAAGTGGCGCTGTGGCTCAAGTGGTAGAGTGCTAGCCTTGAGTTGAAGAGCTGAGGGACAGCACCCAGGCCCAGAGTTCAGGCCCCACAACCGGACCCAAAAAAAAAAGAAATCTATAGATTATGATTACACTTTGAAGCCAACCTGTGCAGAAAAGTTCATGAGACTCCATTTCCAAAGTAGCCAACAGAAAGCTGGCTGGAGTGTGACTCAAAGGATAGAGCACCTGCCAACTAAGCAAGACGAGCAGGTATGAGGCTCTGAGTTCAAATCTCAGTTCTGGTAGAGGAGAAAGTAGGCAAAATAAAATGCAAGTATGCTAAAGTAGATAAACCCAAGTTTAAGATCACCCTGGGCAACCTAGCAAGAGTGGGTTTTTTTGCTTTTTCTTTCTTTCTTTCTTTTTAACCAGGCCTGAGGCTTGAATTCAGAGCCTGGACACTGTCCCTGAGCTGCTTTTGCTCAAGGCTGGCACTCTACCACTTAAACCACAGCACTGCTTCGGGCTTTTTCTGTTTATGTGTTACTGAGGGATCAAACACAGGGTTTCATGCATACTGAGCAAGCATTCTACCACTAAGCCATATTATTCCTAGCCCAAGAGCCTGTTGTTTTTTATTTGGGGGAGGGGTTGTTGTTTTGTTTTGTTTTTTGTTGGTTGTGGAGCTTGAACTCTGGGCCTGGGCATTGTCCCTCCGTTCTTCAGCTCAAGGCATACACTCTACCAACTTGAGCCACAGTGCCATTTCTGGTTTTCCCGGTAGTTAATTGGAGATAAGAGTTTCAGGGACTTTCCTGCCCTGGCTGGCTTTGAATGGTGATCCTAGGTTTCAGCCTCCTGAGTAGTAAGGATTATGTGTGTGAGCCACTGGCATCTGGCTCAGGTTTTTCATCTTAAAAAACAGGCTCTTAGGGGCTAGGAAGGTGGCTCAGTGGTAGAGTGCTTGCCTTGCATGCGTGAGGTCCTGGGTTCGATTTCCCCAGCACCACATAAGCAAAAAGAAAAAAAGCTGGAAGTGGTGCTGTGGCTCAACTGGTAGAACGCTAGCCTTGAGCTGAAGTGCTGAGGGACAGTGCCCAGGCTCAGAGTTCAGGCCGCATGACCAGACCCAAAAAAGAAAAACCTGAATACAAAACAACATTGGGGTGAAAGACTATATGTACAGTAGGCTTAGAAATAAACAGTGAAATAATATTGAAACATTCTTTGAAACAGGAAAGTCAATCACATGCTTGAAGAGAGTGGGATAATATCTACTTATACTCATGGTAAGGGGACACTTGAGTTAATAAATGAGTAGGTGTTCCAGTGGAGGAGCAGTAAAATAGCCACCGATGGTTCAGAGAATGGATAACAGACAGGAAGGAAGATTGGCCTTTGTGGACAGAGAAAATTAATGTGCCTAGGGCATGATAAAGATAAGATAAAATTAGAGGAAAGAGCTACTGTAAGGAATTGGGATTGCCTTCTTTTTTTTTTTTGCCACAGCGCCACTTCCAGCTGTTTTCTTTTTGCTTATGTGGTGCTGAGGAATAGAACCCAGGGCCTCATGCATGCAAGGCAAGCGCTCTACCACTGAGCCACCTTCCCAGCCCCAGGAATTGGGATTTCCTTCTAAGTATAGTAAGCAGCAGCTAAAAGATTTTAAAGACAAAAGTGATTTTGGTTTTGTTTTGTCTTTTTTTGTTGTTGTTATTCCAGCACAAGGGCTTGAACTTGGGACCTGGGCACTCTTTTTTTTTTTTTATTGTGAAAATACTGTACAGAGGGGTTACAATTACATGGGCAAGATAATGAGTACATTTCTTCTTATCAAGCATTGTAGCCTCCTCCTTTGTTTCCCCTTCCCATCCCTTTCCATCCTCCTCCTGCCCCCCCCACCCACTGGGCACTCTTCTTGAGCTTCTTTTTTTGGGGGAGGTTTGGAGGGTTCCAGTCATGGGGCCTGAACTCTGGGCCTATGCGCTGTCCCTCAGCTCTTCAGCTCAAGGCTAGCGCTCTACC